ACTTTAAAATCATATATCTAGGAAAATTACATCTGACCGAATTTAGATTAGGTCGGTAAAAAAGTTTCACGTTTGTTTCAGTCCTTACCGGTACTTCATGTTTTAGATAATGGTCGCTTTAGAAATACGAAATGAACTTCAATTCTACGGACTGGGAGACGAAAGAAGATGTAAAATGGGAAAATAGAAACCACACTTTCTGGGGGTCAAACGGGGAAAAGAACATTCAAGTACCAATATATCAATTTTAAAGAACACCCCTTTGGTTTGAAAAGAGAACATAAAAGAGTTGAGCTTACCTAAAATCATCCAAACACTGAATCGTACCCATGTCCAAACGGACAATTTGAGTAGCAGGAACAGATTTACCACAACGCTGGCAATGGGAAGCCACGGTATACAGGGAACCTTGAAAGGGAATCTCGCTTTGTTTTTAGGTTGAAGCTGCATCACTACAAATCCAAATATTATGAGAATTCCAAGGAAAACAGCTGTGAATACAGCCCATGCCTCGCCGTCGCCTAAATCTCCCCATCCTGCTATCAGCAGCGCACAGAAACCAGCGAGACCCACGACCTGAAGAGAGATAGCGGCGTTGGCAATATGACTTGTTGATGTGGATGGTTCTTCCGAAGCTTTATTTTCTTGGTTCTTGTCCTCCGCTACGCTTTCCAAAGGCTTGTACTCGGCACCTTTCGATTCCGGCAGCATCTTTTGGCAACAGATGACTTTGTAGCTTCGCACAGAACTCGGGGTATCTTCGTCATAACTGACATCTTCGACGCCAGGCTGGAACCTCAACACAAGGACAGAGATAGAGACCAAGGTGTAGGCGAGTAAGGTACCAATTGACAACATCTCAACTAGTTGTTTTAGGTCTAGCAGTAGGGCCAGTAGGGCTGAAAGTACCCCTGCGAAGGTGATAGAGATCAGAGGAACATTAGTTCGCTCGTAGATCCTGGCAAAGAACTTGAAAAGGAGACCATCGCTTGCCATGGAGTACATGATCCTTGGGACGGCGAAGATGCCACTCATCAGCGAACCTGCTAACGCACACAGCCCTCCGACGGCAATAACATACTTGGCTGCGGGGATACCAGTTGCTTTGAAAGCCTCTGGTAAAGGAGCGAATTTGTCGAGCTTGTTATAGGATACCATCAGTGTCAGAACGGACGCAACCCCAAAGTAAGCAAGAAAGCTGATAACAAGGCACAACATGATAGAGAGAGGGATGGCTCGCTTGGGATTAATGGTCTCTTCACTGGCTGTTGCTATCACATCAAAGCCGACGAAGCAGTAAAAACAGCTCGCAGCACCGGCCAGGACTCCGGACACTCCGTATGGAAGGAACTGTTGTCTGCCGGCCCAATTGGAAGGGTTGACATGGAACAAGCCGACAGCCAGCACGAAGAGTATTACCAGCATGTTAACTGTGGTCACGCATTTGTTGAATACGGCCGAGTGCTTGGCTCCGCTGGCAACGATCATGGACACCAAGAGAACAAGAATAAAAGCCAGAAAATCTGGGTACGATCCCAAGCCCGATACTTTAAACGCCCCAATGTTTTCGATAAAGAATTTTCGAATAGCTCCGCCGGCAATGGAGTCGATGTATTCGCTGCTGGCGCGGCCGAGCGAAGCTGTACCGATCACATATTCTAGAATCATGTTCCAGCCGATGATAAATGCCCATATCTCACCTAAAGAAGAGTAGGTGTACACATAGGCAGACCCTGCCTTGACGACACGGCATCCAAATTCCGCGTAACAAATCCCCGAAAGGAAAGCGGCAACAGCGGCAATGAAGAACGACAACACGATGGCTGGTCCGGCGACATCTCTGGCGATCTGTCCAGTGACTACATACAGACCCGCTCCCACCGTCGCACCGACCCCAATTGAAGTTAAATCGAAGACATCAAGACATCGGCGAAGCTGAGAATTAGATAGATCATTGTCGATAACTTTTCTTCGGGTGAGAAGACGAAGAAACCGTATAAAACTCATAGCTTTCAACGGTGTAAAACTCTTCCTCCCAGCGGGTTTTCCGTCTTCAATATGGCTAATTGATGAAGGTTTTGAAACCTCCCTTCGCTTTAAAACGTCTCTAAATGACTGTCATAATTAAATTCGCTCCCTCAGATATAGATCACTCTCCTCTTGACGATTTGCGGGAATGAAACGAAACCTTTAGACTGGACAAAATTCGATTCAATGTAACTTTCGCTTGGCTACTCAAAACTGTGAAATTAGAAAATCGAATCAGAATTTTAATTGACAGACGATATATTCCGGATTGTTGACGTATATTTGCATGACAGCCACTGTGTGACGTATAATAGCAGATGGTCTCTGATCTATTGTTTGAGGAGTTGTAAACCGCTTTTGACAACAAAAAAAATTTGCATCTTCGTTCTCCGATGCGTTGAAATTGATTAAGTCCAAGACCTTGAGATGAACTTGGTTTTTCCCTCTTTATTTCCTGCCCTTAAATAATCTCCAATGCCGCTTGGGACTCAATCTTTATGTTGTCCCATCCCACGCGACCATTTTCCTCAAGGCGTTCATTTTTTTTAACAAAGCTAATTTCTACAATCGGACAACTTGAATTTTCACAAAAATTTCAAATCAAACCAAAACTAAGATTTATTTTTATTTTTCACGGCTAAAACAAACTTAAACCGAGGGACGATGGAAGGTTTCTGTTTATCAAATCTTAAAACGGTTATAATCGCCGCGGGCGAGAGTGCAAATAAAAAATTCTGAAATGCAAATTAGCTTTCCTAATTACCAACCGTACTGGTGACTTGTTTTGAATTGGTAATATCCATTAGAACTATTCAACTTTTTATTATACCGAGGAAGCATCAGTTACTTCTCATATTTTAAAATTGATATTCTCATTAAAAATTTATTTCGCTGCTTCATATCTCTCTAATTTAGAGACAACAGAAGCTCCTGGAGCCGAAAGTAAATCTAGACCCGACATATTTCGATAAGAATTGTCTTCTTTGTATTTCTGCGAACCGTTGAATTTTTATTTTAGACGACAACATGGTCACAGAATTCAAGCTTTTTTCGCACGCTCCCAAAAAGGTATGCTGTCATAACCGGGATTTTATCCGAGTAAGAGCCTGTAAGAGTGTGGCCAAAGAACATTTTTCTTTGAGTTTTTTTTTTTTTGCTTTGAGATATCTTGGTTCTGCAGATAATAGGAAGGGATAAATATCGAGGATCTTTTAAAATTAACCCTCGACGTGGGAGCAGAATCTTAAGCATGGTGCGATTTGGCGGAAAGGGAAGAAATAAAAAAATAGAATCTGCTCTTTTTGGGGGAGATTGTCCGTAAAGGCTTACAGCTGTTCCCCTTTGATGTTCTAGACGCATTGGAGTCTTCGAAGAAAGCTGACAATGCGCCAAAATTAAAAAAGACAGTTTCATAAAAAAAGAAAGAAAAATTTATTTCAGCCTTTAAAAAATACGTTTTATATTATGAACAATGTAGACTGATGAATATTCCCTTACGATGAAGAAAAAAAAACTAACTGGACTCAAAGTCAATTGCACCCGCGCGTGACAATAACAACATCGTATTTTTTTACGGTTTTAAATTCCGTGGATAACCAATATAGTTCAACCTTTCACGTAATTTTTTATCAGGAAATCGTCCTCAATTCAACATTTCTCTTCTGTACTTTAGTCACACACAGTTATGCAAAACCTATCAGTTACGGAAAAAAAATTATCCTTGTTACCCTATAAAGAAACAAATCAGTGTGTTTCAGAGACAGTTGTGGACGCAAAAAAACACAAGGTTAGCCATAATATCAAGAGGTTCTAATTTAAGTTACCATCAAATATCACACGCTGTTTTCCATGAAAGACTTTAAGTTCACACTTGGCATGAAGTACGAGGCACGCAAAGAATCAATTCGTTTATCAGGCTATTATTAAAGGAGTGCGTTACCATGAATACGCACGATGTGATCTGGAATGCGTGATCTTCTAAGTGCTGTATGCTGTAGACTAACACGTAAAAAATGGGTTGTATTTGAGGCAAACCGTATATTTTAGCACAGGTGTACAGATAAGCGAGTCTGAAAGGAATCTCACATGACTTGTTATTGATGATTTGAGTCGGATATCTGATTTAAAAAGATTGTGGTCTCCAGGGAAAAGGAATATCAAACGAGAGATCAATTCGTGTGCACATTAGAAGAAATTTAAGAGATCATGTGGGGACTCTCTTGAAGCAATATTTCACAGTCATAGCCATCAGGGGCGTTGCAAAAGTAACTCCTCATCCCCTCCTCTGGCCCTCAATGCGACAGGTTTCTATCTCGGCTCAGCGAATACGGTACTTTTCGCGGACATTTTGCCATGACCAGCGTATTCTTCTTAGTGGCGAGATACAAAAATAGCCCTACGAGAAACTTATGCTGTATATAGAGAATTTTCACTTTGATTGACCGCTTTAATTATTAGTTCTAATTGTTTTTTTGCTCAGAATTTGGACACGAATAGCATAACAGTTGGTTCTTTGACGTACCCAGCGAAACGCTTTCAATATTTATCAAGTGGTCCTTGTTTGAAGAGATTACAAATATCTACTAATAATATTCACAATTTTAGATGAGTCGGAAGGTGCTATTTTCTATTTTTGGTTATTATTGTCACGCGCGCAAAACGTAGGATGCCACACGATACACTCGTGTCACGCCCCACCGCCCCTCTGTTCATTTCAGGGACTATCCGAACGCACTCAGATGCTCAAGTTGATTTAGGGAGAACTTCCTCCGCGCGTGTAGTCATTGAACGAAACGCGATAGCAATGCATTGGGGTAAAGTTTGGATGTTTGCCTGAAGCAGGCTGATAGTAGATAGACCTAATTATTTTGTGGGAGAGAGGGGAATGGAGATGTTTGGTCCACTCAAACATATTTATGCATCCTTGTCTACGGTTGTAATATTTTTCTGGTTTCATCTATGAGTTGCTAATGTCAGTGTGTATGCAAACAATTTATTTGGGCTTTTCCTTTTTAACAAACACCTGTAGTTTCTGACGGCTTTCTTTAGAGCTTGTTCATACGCAACCGTTTGTCTTTTGTGGAACAATAAATTTTACGCCAATTAATAATTTTTAAGTCTGCCCAGTCTTATGGTTCGTATAAAAGTGTTACAAGGCCATCTTCCCAGTGCGCAAGTCATTTGGTCCATACTGTTACAGCTGATCCTAATTTCAGTAGTATTTTTATTGGTTCTTATTTATGATCTATTAAAGGACAGACGCATAGATAACGTCACCATTAACCAAATTTCGCCCTTTTCTTATATGAAACAAATAGTTTCCATATGTTGCTTGCGTGGGTCTGTTCAGGAATGGATCACAGCAGACTTCAAAATGTGGTAAGAAACATCAGTGGCATACTGAGGCTGAGCCTCGTGCGCCATGTTTTTGTTCTTAGTAAATCTATTTGTTGAATTGTTACCCCCCTCCCCTCCCCTCTTCGTCGGGATTTCGTCAAGCTTCCCTGAAAATTTACCAGTGCTAATTTATAATCTTAGGTAGAGAGAGTGTATATTTCAGTACAGTCTTGCAGAAGAACGCGATTAAAAATCTGGCCAGCAGGTCTCGATCCACTGGAGTTCAGCACGTTATGACAACGCCTCTCAATACAGGGAAAATATACACGCCGAGATTTCTAGTTCTACGATGGCCGTGCCGATTTCAAAGGGATTGTTTCCTGTATGAACTGATCCTCCTAATCATTCAACACTTCCATATAAGTACTTTCTGGCCACAAAATTAGTTTAGAATTGCAATATTTACGGGATTCCCTGGGGATTATGTGGTAATACATATTCTTCAAGTTCTTGACCAAAGTCTGGAGTCTGGGTCAGGATGAACTGAGACTCTGTTTTCTCAGACGGTCTAACGGCTTCCAAACTGTGACTGTAACCGTAGAAAAAGTACACCAATAAACCTGGAATGAACGATAACAAATTTTTACACTGGAACGTTTGCAATAATTACCCATACATGCCAAGAAAAACAGGAAACTAATCCGGAAATAAAAGAAAAGAGAAGTTGGTCGACAGATCAAGAAACTCAACTTTCAACTTGCAAAATTTATGCCAGAGTGCTATGCCAGAGAAAAGGCGCCCTAGGGAAGAGGTTGCCTCATCCTCTACTCGACCCAGTCCTCGAAGCTAACATCTATAAATTTCATACCAATTTTCAGTTACTTACCTAGAGACATCCAAATGCTAAACCTGATATACGTCCAATGATTCAGCGTCACCAAAAGCAAAGTATTGACAAATATCGTA